TATTCCCTCACTCATTCTGTCTCATATACAGAGAGAGAGAGAGAGAGAGAGAGAGAGAGAGAGAGAAGTTTACAGTTATAGTTAAATATTTATCCTATATTGATTTTACTGAGCAATGGATACCTAAACAGATTAATGATGTGTTGTGAAATTTAACGCGGAATAAAACAGGAATCGACACAAACTAGAAGAACACGGAGATTTAACGAGGTTCGGCAAAGAATTGCCTACGTCCTCGGGAGCGAGCGGCGGTTTCACTATTTCAGAGAAGTTCAATTACATCCCATAGGGTTTCCCATATAAATAGACATATACAAACCCTCAGATAAAACAACAATCACGCCCTCGCTCCTCCCAACCCCCTTTATTCCAAGAGACACTCCTTTTCACCAGGAGACACGCCTCTTCAAAAGAAACTCCAACTCCCCATATATGAGCCATATCTAACATGATGCACTACTATATCCAAATGCCAAAAGTATATAAAGAGTAACTGGCCAATCTGGCTCAATTTTCTTCAGAACCTATAAATAGAAAAATAATTTGGTAAAAGTAGCCAGTAATGTTTTACTTTTATGTTGCTAGTCATGGCTGTCAATTTTACACTGATTCAATGGACCTTTAAAAATTAAAAGATAAACAAGGTAGCTGCAAAAACTATAATAGATACAAAAATAGTAATGTTTTACTTTTATGTTGCTAGTCATGGCTGCCAATTTTACACTGATTCAATGGACCTTTAAAACTTAAAAGATAAACAAGATAGCTACAAAAACTATAATAGATACAAAAAATAGATACAAAAATTACAAGAAAATTTAGCTTGCACACACAACTTGCATGATAGACTGGTCCACTCTACAACAGATAAAGGCGTAAAGACAAAATACTAAAGAAAACTTACCCACCGATAGAATTCATCGATATGGTAAAGAGTGAAAAACTTGTTTCTTGTATTAATGACGCAATATAATAAAGACTGAGGTGAATTGTTAGTACTCAGCAATAATACCTAAAAGAAGAGGTAACTGGGCTCTGTGGAGATAATAGTGTGCCAGAAAACGAGTAGTTGTGCAGAAAGACGAGCATATAGAGGTGCAAACTTGGATTAATAAGCCATCATATACTACAGACCAATCTGTTTATTGGAGTGATTTAAACCTCTTCAAGAGATTTGGGTCAAGGTGTTATCGGTCAAACGTGGAAATCTACTTACCTTGTACTTGGAATATCCTAAAGATAGATTCCGCCATAACAAAATGGGTTTGAATCAAATGACCCTGATCTGAATTCTATAGCCAGTGTGTGTAATTACCTGAGTTGGTGGATGAAAATTCATTCTCAACAAGAAAAGATAAAGACTGTATGAGCTACGCAACATTTCATCTAAAAATGAACCTTCTACAAATTCAATACTGTATAACAGATTAGTGATAACCTACACATTGCTAGAAATAATGTGCTGTATGACACTCTAAGCTATACTCAATACAATCAAACATGTTTACTATATCAGCATGCAAGTATTGTTTGAATTCAATGCATTTAGGAAACTCCTGCAAGGCATTTAACGAGTAGGTTTCTTCCATAACTTAGAAAAAGGTTAAGTTTGACAAGAGACACTGGTGTTTAACTTCATTGCAACCTAAAAACTCATTATCTAGACCTTCTATCCATAAAAATTTGCTGCAGGACCTTATAAGCGAATGAAAACATGTTTGATTTGCATTGAGCATGGCCATAATGGCCGAAGAGGAAACAAAACAAAAGAATATTACCTCCATACATAAATTGTGAAGAAAAGAATTATATAATGTTTATTTCCTGAATGCTGTAAGCTTTCAATAAGTCAATATTAATTTCAACTACTAAGATGCACTTTTGACAATGTAGTTTGGGTGCAAAATTATGTTATCATGTTACGTGTTATAAATAAATCAATGACGTAAAATGATTTTGGACATCTTTATTTCCCACCATCAATCAGAAATGTCCCAACTATAGGGAAAAAACAATGTTTTGACAGTTTTTTTTGCCAACTCTAACCTCTCAATGTCATTTTGATTTCTCAGATTATGTAAAAAGGGTTTCTTCGTGCTCTGCAGGATTCCGGCTGAATTCTTATTGGAAAGAATGGTTGCAGACGAGTTCCCCATGCTTTTGGAAGAACATTTTCATATTCCTTAATCTCTTTTTCCTGGTTTTATTTTCAGCTCAGTTCATCTTTAAAATAATTCTTGACCGTAATGCACGAAAAACAAAGTACAATGAGGAAGAACAAAAATGTTCAGTAGAAAAAGCTATTCCTGGAAACATAAGAGTTGGAAATTCATACCAAGTCTGCAAATGGTCTTGCTCAGCGATTCTGCTCTGCCAAATTCTCGAGCTCCTATTATTCCCATCAAATAAATATGACGGTCAATGTGAACTCTCAGTCAAATTTTTTTCTGAAATAATGAAGGCGCTATCATGCATTATTATGCTGGTAGGCATTTTCACTTTCAGGAGAAAAGCCACCATCATAATCCCCTGGACAATTAGATTATTATGCCTGAGTATCTTCCTCGAGTTTGCAACCAGCTTATTTTTTAAACTGCAGTTTATCCTTTCACACAAGTTGAAGATGGGAGCAAGAGAACTTTTAAATATGATTGCTCTCTTTTCCTGCATGTGCCTGACAGCAATGTCAGTCAGGGGACAAACAGGGATCAGCGTCACCTCAAGCAGTGTAAATGAACCGCTGCTGAATGGTTCTGTGGAGAAACAAACAGAAACTAAAAGAGAATGCCCGTATGGGAGAGCAAGTCTTTCTGAACTCGTTACTTTCTCCTGGCTCAACCCATTATTTTCCATTGGAATCAAGAAACCACTGGAACAACATGAAGTGCCTGATATTGATGTAAAAGATTCTGCGGAGTTCCTATCACAATCTTTTGATGAGTGCCTTGAAAGAGTGAAGGAAAAGTATGGATGGAAGAACTCATCTGTTTACAGGGCGATGTTCTTATTTATACGAAGGAAGGCTGTAATCAATGCATCTTTTGCAATAGTAACCGCAGCTGTTTCCTATGTTGGTCCTTCATTGATAAATGATTTTGTAAGTTTTCTAGGAGGAAAGCGGAATCACAGACTTCAGAATGGATACATTCTAGCGCTGGCATTTCTTAGCTCCAAGTTTGTGGAGACTGTGGCTCAAAGACAATGGATTTTTGGAGCTCGACAGCTTGGTCTGCGTCTAAGGGCAGCTTTGATTTCTCACATTTACCAAAAAGGAATTCATCTATCAAATCAATCAAGACAAAGTCATACTAGTGGGGAGCTTATCAATTATATGAGTGTTGACATCCAAAGAATCACAGATATTATGTGGTATGCAAACATTATATGGATGCTTCCAATCCAGATCTTGCTGGCAATTAATGTGCTTTATAGAAATCTAGGCCTTGGTGCTTTCGCTGGATTAGCAACTACATTCCTTATAATGGCATTGAATATTCCGCTTACACAAAGACAAAAAAATTTTCAGTCCAAGATCATGGAAGCCAAAGATGATAGAATGAAATCAACTGCAGAGGTTCTCAGGAACATGAAGATTCTCAAGCTTCAAGCATGGGACACGAAGTATCTTCTAAAATTAGAAAACTTGCGTAAAATTGAATGTGACTGGCTGTGGAAATCTCTAAGACTTCAAGCGATTTCAGCTTTTATCTTTTGGGGTGCACCAACTTTTATCTCAGGAATCACTTTCGGGGCATGCATACTGATGGGAATCCCTCTAACAGCGGGGAGAGTTTTGTCTGCATTGGCGACATTTCGAATGCTACAAGATCCTATTTTCAACCTGCCTGATGTGCTTTCAGCATTAGCCCAGGCAAAAGTGTCTTCTGACAGGATAGCCTCCTACCTAAAGGAAGATGAAATAAAATCTGATGCAGTAGAAGTCATTCTCAGAAATGAAGCAGAGCTTGAAGTTGAAATAGAAGAAGGGATTTTCAGCTGGAAATTGGAATCTGTATCCCCAACACTTTGTAATATACAGTTGAGAGTAAGAAGAGGGATGAAAGTAGCTATATGTGGGTCAGTTGGTTCAGGGAAGTCTAGTCTAATATCAGCGATTCTTGGAGAAATACCAAAATTGGGAGGGACAGTAAAAATAAGTGGCAGCAAAGCATATGTACCTCAATCCCCTTGGATATTAACTGGCAACATACGGGAAAATATTCTCTTTGGAAATCCATATGACCATAATAAGTATGAAACAACTATCAAGGCGTGTGCTTTAACAAAGGATTTTGAGCTCTTCGCCAGTGGAGATCTAACAGAGATTGGAGAAAGAGGAATCAATATGAGCGGCGGACAGAAGCAGCGAATTCAAATTGCTAGAGCAGTTTACCAGGATGCTGACATATACCTTCTTGATGATCCTTTCAGTGCAGTTGATGCTCACACTGGAAATCAACTATTTAAGGTTCCTTTCTTTTGTCACTTGTCACGTCAAAGATGTATTTGAATGCCTTTTGACAATTACGCCTCCCTACATCGAGAATTCATTTCTACAAAATTTAAATAGAAATTGAAAGCATTCCACAGTGGAACAGAGAGGGCTAATCGCACAAATTGTCAAAAGCAAAAGTTTTTTCTGACGCTAAGGGAATTATTTTTTGTATTTTGAAGGAATGCCTTATGGGGATTCTAAGAGAAAAGACAATTTTCTATGTTACCCATCAAGTGGAGTTTCTCCCAACAGCAGACCTTATCCTGGTTAGTGAGAAACACGCCTTAACTATTAAAATTTCAGAGCAGAATCTTGGCCTCCAATGAAGAAATTTAGGGTCTGTTAGATTTAGTGAAAATGCCAAATATTTGCATATAAAGTAATTTTCTTATATTTGATTTGTAGTGAAGTTCATTGTTCAACATTTTCACAATCAGATGACAAATAAATGCAGCCAATTTGGCTTTATTTATTTTGCAGTTTGCTTTAGATGCATTACATTCCCAGCCAATCAAGCTTCAAATTTAAGTATAACACAAATGGACTACTAAACTATCATACAGTGAACTACTGTTTTGCCAATTTAAGCTGCCTTAAAGAGTAAATTTATTTTCTAACTGTAGAGCAACTATAACAGAAGCTAATAAAAAATATTATCAATCAACAGGTGATGCAGAATGGAAGAATAGCACAGTCCGGAAGTTTTCACGAACTTTTGCACCAAAAGACAGGATTTGAGGTTTTAGTAGGAGCTCACAACCAAGCTCTCCAGTCAATCTTCAATGCAGAAAACTCAAGCAGAAGTTTTCAAACAGAAAATGGAAGGATAGCAGGAAATTCAACCACTGATGAATGTGATTTAGAAAATTCTAAAGACACTCAGCTGCAAAGAATTGAAAAGCAAGAGTCCGCACAGGATATCTCTCAAGATGTTGCTGAACGAGGAAGACTAACACAAGATGAGGAAAGAGAGAAAGGTAGTATTGGGAAAGAGGTTTATTGGTCATATCTGACAGCTGTGAGACGAGGGGCTTTAATTCCAGTAATAATTACAGCACAATCCCTCTTCCAGATACTGCAAGTAGCAAGTAACTACTGGATGGCATGGGCTTCCCCTCCAACAACAGATGCACCAGAAAAAATAGGAATTAGTTTACTTTTCACAGTATATATAATTATGTCAATTGGGAGTTCACTTTGTGTGTTGGCCCGGGCAATGCTAGTAGCAATAGTTGGTCTTTTGACATCACAAACGCTTTTTGAAGGCATGCTTCACTCTCTGCTTCGTGCACCGATGTCCTTTTTTGATTCAACGCCAACAGGACGAATCTTAAACAGGGTTAGTATTCAAATACCTAATTGATTACACATTTTATTCAGTATGGCATCGAACTATTGAATGAGTAGTTGGAAATAATTATAAATGCATGACTTCTAAATAGGCCTCAACAGACCAAAGTGTGCTGGATTTGGAGATAGCAGGAAGGTTAGGCTGGTGTGCCTTTTCGGTAATACAGATCCTCGGGACCATAGCAGTTATGTCACAAGTTGCATGGCCAGTTTTTGCCCTATTCATCCCAGTGACAATCATATGTTTCCGGTATCAGGTAATATGTCAATGCCACATAGTAGCAACTCACACTAAAGGGCCCATCTTTTAACTTCCTGATTACAAATTAAGTAATTGCAACTGCAAACAATGTAAACAAACTGATGTGGATAAGTAAAGCATTTACTCACACTAAAGGGCCCATCTTTTAACTTCCTGATCACAAATTAAGTAATTGCTGCAAACAATGTAAACAAACTGATGTGGATAAGTCAAGCATTCAGATAATAATCTTCATCTTTCCATTTTTTAAAATAAAACAAGGATGTAACATTGCACAAAACTCCAGAGATTGCATGGTAACATATCAACAAAGGTTGCCATGCCCAACCTTTACCCCTAACATTGCCATAATTTAAACCTATGATGAGAGATTTTCTCTAATTTTGTACATTTAGGAGGGCATACCAAGTTTATGGAGCTCTTGCTCAGAAAGGCATGGCAGGAGTTGATGTACGCAGCTTTAGCCATACATCTAAAAAGATGCTTTGCAATTGTAATTGAAAACTAAGACACTGATAAAAAATTTAGAGACATGTTACCCACTATTCACACTTAACCAATATCTGTACATATTTAACAAAACACCCTATATGAATTAATGACAGTTCCATACACTAGATAAGCCCTCTTTATTTTAAATCTATATTTACTAATGAGACATATATAATAATTAGCACTCAATCCTTAGAGTCCTTGATCTTCATCTACCATTTTTTTACTGTAGAGATATTACATACCAACTGCAAGAGAACTTGCGCGTCTGTCAGGAATCCAAAGGGCTCCAATCCTACATCATTTTGCAGAATCACTAGCTGGAGCTGCGACTATCAGAGCATTTGGACAAGGAGACCGCTTTACAATAGCAAACCTCAGTCTTATTGACAATCACTCGAGGCCATGGTTCCACAATGTATCTTGCATGGAGTGGCTTTCATTTAGACTGAATATGCTTTCAAATTTTGTATTTGCATTCTCTCTCATTTTGCTTGTAAGCCTTCCAGAAGGATTTATCAATCCAAGTAAGAATACTGATCATAAAAAAGAACCCTTCACTTATTTTTTTAAGAAAATTCATCTGTTAGTCATGACATCTGACCTCTGGATTTGTTTATCCTTTGCAGGCATTGCAGGATTAGCAGTAACTTATGGTCTTAATCTCAACTCCCAGCTAGCAACTATCATCTGGAATATTTGCAATGCTGAAAATAAAATGATCTCAGTAGAAAGAATTGTGCAATACTCACGGATCCCCAGTGAAGCACCTTTGTTGATAGAGGAAAACCGACCACCAAGAAATTGGCCAGAAACTGGAAACATATGCTTTAAGAATTTGCAGGTAATGTTGCACCAACATTGTCAATAACAATTCCAAAGCAAGAATTTTGCATCATAATAAATATATAATTGAAAAGCAGAGCCATATTTTCTGCAGGCTTAAAAAATTATCACCCTGATATCTCGATGATGAGAGAGTTCTTTATTTTGTGTTAATTCTGAGTCAAATTTTAGAAGACAGATTGTATTGCTAGAAATTTCATATTCAACAAAATTAAATGCATACATATATAATATAATTTCATTAAAATGTCTAATATAAATATAGATTCATATTTAACCAAATTATATGTAGATTCATATTGTAACTACAAACTATCCTTTATATCCACACATTCGTAAAAAAACCATTCATGTACTCTGGTTGCTTTGATAAATATATTTGTCTATGCATGATTCATGTGTTGGTGTGGATTTGACATGTTTCAAAGGAGATGCTAAGGACATTTTCAGGACTACTAGTAAGAGAATGGTAATATTTCTCAATATCCAAAATTTATATAAAATTTCATTAAATGCTTTTTCATAACTCTATCATAATTCAACCCTATTTTCTTTTCTGAGATTTTTAATGAGATTAATAATGATAACATAATGATCTAGAAGCAAATAATATTTAACTAATAGATCTTTTAATCTTGTCTACTATTCAAATACAACCTATTTACACTGTTTATAATTATCATGTAGTTGATCCCTATTCCCTATTCATTTTATACTAAATATTTTTCTTTAAGATCATGCTTCATATCACCGCATGTAAATTTAGCTGCAACGTTTGACCAAAATGATTTGAGTTCACTAATTTTGATTTAGCGCATTTACCTTTTCGGTAGTCAATCGATGCTTCATATCACCGCATGTAAATTTAGCTGCAACATTTGACCAAAATGATTTGAGTTCACTAATTCTGATTTAGCGCATTTACCTTTTCGGTAGTCAATCATGCATACGGTAATGTTCAAGGAAATCTTTTAAACTATCAATCTAATTTGGAAATTCTATAGACTGAGACCTCCTACTGAATATTGGAATATAATTTTGAATCTCATCATAGTCATGTTGTAGTTGTCTAGAATTATATCTTACCCGATATCAGCCAACTTTTTTTCATCATGCTAAGGAAAAGGTCAGAACAACTTTATTAGACTGGAAAAATATTTGAGAATAAACAAAACATCCCCCTTACCATATGTTGTTGCTAAGAGACCATTTTCTGATCAAGTTTTTGAACACAAGACGAGTTCTTCTGAGGTGGAGAGAAACTGATGCAGCAACTTATCCTTGCCTAATCACCATTATTATATTAGTTAACTCTGTTATTAGTACTATTAAATAGATGTTTAGTGAATATACTTTTGTGTTAGGTGTTATGACCATTCTACCTTGTGGTAGTGGAGAAATGGGAAGGGTCTCCAACTCCCCAGATATGAGCCATATCTAACAGATAGAAAGAAATTTCCCTTTCTTCGTACGTGACAGCTTTTTCCTACTTTGATAGACAGAAATTTCCCCTTCCAGTTATCTTTTTTTGTGCTCTTCTTCTTCCTTGATGCAGGTTGCTGCACCAACAAATACAATTATACATAGGCATATTTCACTGATGGAGTGCACATGTTTGGGTTCATTTTCCATTTTAATTACTTATCTACAATTATTATTCAAAATTTTCTTTTGAGTTTCTCAATTTTGAGTTATAGTCTACACTTCAAACAAATTCACTAAATCTATCCATGTCCCTCACAGCAGGTAGACGTGAAATGAGCCAATAGATTGAGCATCATATTTTCAATTTCAATGTGTTAGAGGAGAAATGGGATTGCTTAGTTACTATAAAGCAGAAAAAATAAAAAACATGTCCAAATCATTCAATGGATGCAGTTAACATAAAAACTCAACCGCTACTTCTAGACATTCATATTAACTGGCATTTTTCTTTTCTATATTGCCTCTTTTTACTGCAGGTTAGATATGCTGAGCACTTGCCATCAGTCTTAAAAGATATCACATGTACAATACCAGGTAGGAAGAGGGTTGGTGTGGTAGGAAGAACTGGAAGTGGGAAATCAACCCTAATCCAGGCACTTTTCCGCATTGTTGAACCCAGAGTAGGATGCATTATAATTGATGGTGTGGACATCTGCAAGATAGGTCTTCATGATTTGCGGTCAAGGTTGAGCATCATCCCACAGGATCCCACATTGTTTGAGGGGACAGTAAGAGGAAACTTTGATCCACTGAGGCAGTACTCGGATGAAAGAATATGGGAGGCAAGTTTAGTTTATCAGAACAATTCTTAGTTTATTAGAAAAATTTAGAAAAGCGGTCTGCTTCTAACATAAAAGTACTGTAATGATTGTACAGGTATTAAACAGGTGTCAGCTAGGTGAAGTGATACGTAGCAAGGACAAGAAAATGGATTCAACAGGTAAAGCATGTTGTTATAACCCAGCAGAATAAATAGCTCAAATTTCTTTAAAAATAAACATGATTTCATTATTGTAAGGATAATACCATTTATATTATTGCAGTTGTTGAAAATGGAGAAAATTGGAGTGTTGGACAGAGACAATTGTTTTGTTTGGGAAGAGCCTTGCTAAAGAAGAGCAGCATTCTTGTTCTTGATGAGGCGACAGCTTCTGTGGACTCTGCTACTGATGGAATCATACAAGAGACCATTCGCAAAGAATTCAATGACTGCACTGTAGTTACCATAGCCCATAGAATTCACACTGTCATCGATAGTGATCTCATTTTGGTTCTTAGTGATGGTGAGAGTTTCTGCACTTTAAAGAATAATAATTATTAAAACCAAGATATTAACAGTGAATTACTTTCCTTGCCAAACAGGAAGAGTCTTGGAATATGACACACCAGCAAAACTACTTGAAAGGGAAGACTCGTCATTTTCAAGGCTCATAAAGGAGTATTCAATAAAATCGCACAGTTATAACAAACATTATACCGTGCAAGGTTCAACCTAAATGCTTTTAGACATCTGAACTCAACTGATGTGACAATGCTCATTAAGGTGAAGAAGATGATGCGGCCAAGATGGACAACATAAATAATAATCTAATTCTTTGAAGAGTAGAATGTCAACATGCACATTGAATAATTGACAAATCTTGCTTGAACTTTATTAGACTGGGATGCACTGAGAAATGAACCTAACGGTCAGGTGGATTCTAATGCAGTGGCTATATGGTAAACCGTAAAAAATATTCCTTGTTTGGTTAGCGGTGTTAACGTCTACAGCAGCATGTACTTGCCAAGAATAACGAACTCGTAAATTTTAAAACAAGAATAAAATTTTTTGAAATTTCTCTTCCGCCAGAGACATGCATGTACTTTCAATTCTTCATAACCAATGCTTCTTGCATTACTATTGCATGCATTGTCCTTTCCAATCTAATGCAGTTATATTATTCCTTAGAAACTGTAAAATCATTAGTCATACCCTCATTTACCTTGATTAAACTAGATTTACTAAGAAACATGGTAGAAAAGATGACCTTAGAATTTTGGTATTAAGTGTTCAAAATTTATGCTTTAGAAGAGCTGGTCTGCCAGAATACTGCTTTTTTTACTTTCTATAAGTTGGAAAGACAGAGAAGGAACTCTATGGAATAATCACTGTAGAGAAAAAACGAATCTGAGATGGATAGAATAATTCTTCTTCTCTTATTATTCACATGTAATACCGCCAATATGTAATTATATGAATGAAAAATAATAGGAAGGCATAATTACATCACTTCTGACTCCCTCGCCAGTAGAGAATGATAAATAAGAAAAGAAAAGTGCAAAGAAAGGTTCATGAGTTTTCTCTAATATGCCCTCTCAAGATTGAGTCCAAGTAGAGGACACCAATTTTGACTTGTTTTCTGAGACGGTTGCAAGAAAAAAATTTGAAAAAAAGAAAGAAGAAGATTAGATGAGACAAATGGAACTAGCGATACACAAAAATCGTCATTTTGGCATTGTTGGTATGAAGTGGAAGTCAATGATGATGTGTTTCATTATGGAGTGAGAGATATGATTGGTGCATAAGTAGGTTGCCTAATATTGCTTGTCACGATAATTGGTAGGTGGCTAAAGGAAATGAATATCAAGTTCACAACACTCAGATTGCACCCATGTGATTTCAAAAGTGAGAGAAGCAATGACATCATATTCAACTTTGTAGACCACTGAGTTAACGTGTGTTGTTTCTTGGAGCAATAGGAGAAAGCACTTGGATTTAGAAATATAATATCTAAAGTTGTGGATGTTTGATTGGTAATGTTCCCAGCAAAATTAACATCCAAGAATCCATGAAGCGCCTATGGAGGAATTAACGTGTGTTGTTTCTTGGAGCAATAGGAGAAAGTACTTGGATTTAGAAATATAATATCTAAAATTGTGGATGTTTGATTGGTAATGTTCCCACCTAAATTAACATCTAAGAATCCATGAAGCGCCTATGGAGGAGACCATAGAATACGTCAAGCAACACCCTTGTGGTTTCTGGTTGGTTGATGCATGACATGTGAGAGCTTGTAGAAGGAAAATACAATGTCTAGCTGCATGTGTGAGCAAGATTGTCACGATCTCCAATAATGAGCTGAAACTTAGAGAATTTGGCGAGGGAGACACCATAGAAAACTGTAGGTGTACGATTAGAAGACATGTGAGTAGTGAAATCTTTGGCATTTGTCATGATTCTGCACATAGAACAATTAGTTGGCTTGCTCAAACATAGTTGATTAGAACTTCTAGGCTCAGGAAAAGTTCAGGGAGGGTCAAAAGTGAGTAGGAAGAGTCCTAGGACACTTGAATTTATTTTAGGCTCACTAGGTCCAGGGTTCTTAATGGATGCCTAAGAGTCAAATTGAACTTAGTCAGGCTTAGATTGGATTTAGGGTTCCCTTGGTTCCAATATAAACTTGTTATTGTACCAAATATATTAAATGAGCTAAAGTTCAATTAGAGCTCAATCTGAAGCTGGAGGAAGAATTAGGCTAAAAAAAATCACCTAGAGATTAATAAGAAGGGATCCAATGTCTATGGGTGAATGCTCGGGATTTGATTTAAATTCTCCTCACCAAAATTTAGGTTAACATGTATTTGTAGTCTTGCTATGATCTATTTTCATTTCAAGAACTTTTTTCACTTTTCTCAAATTCTTTGTCAAACTGAAATGAAAAAAATTCTTCATGTCAAACTTCATAAACAATTATGACTTCAAATCATTGTTTTTTTT